GTCGGGGCGCATGTCAGCGCTGAGCACATCAATGCTCATTACAGAAATGGGCTGAGCGCCTTTGGGGGGGCTGTGCTGAGCCGCAGGGAGGAGAGCCACCCTCCAGATGTGGTGGGTGGCTCGGTGATGGCCCTTTGTCACTCACTGCCTGCCCCTGCCTGCAGTTCCTCACAGGATGGGAGGTGATGGAACTCATGCACCTGGCTGGAGGGCTGTGTCTCCCTGTGGGGTGGTGGCCCCAGTCCTTCACATGGCAGCTGAGACCCTACACACTCATTACAAGTCCTGCTACTGCTGCCACCCCTGCCCCCCCGCCCCCAGCTTTTTTCTATGGGGGCTGTTGCATGTGCATAGGTGGCAGATCCTGCAAGCACCCCAGGCTCTGGCAGGTCCATCTCCCCACAATGGAGGGACAAACTCAGTAAGCAGACCTTGCCCCACAGCTGTGATGAGCCTTTGGTTTCTCTTTCTGGGCTTTGTGATGCTTGGGGAGGACCTCATGAGCCAAGGACCGCCAGCGACCTCAATGCTGTCAGCATCGCCTCTGGCTGCAGTGCAGCATGTCTGCCCGGCCTGTTTGCCTTTTGGCTTTTAAGATCCCCAAAGGTGAGGGAATGCCTGGATTTTAGCAGGATGCAAAAAAACTACCCAAGCCATAGGCTGGACTAAGCTGTTGAGCATATCGTGGTGGCCGTCACCCCCAGAGAGCTGTCAGTTGGGAAGGGCCCCAGAGCAGCAGTGAAGTGATGCAATCCTTCAGTTTTTCAGGTTTTTTGCTTTTGCAATAACGATTTCCTTTATTGTGAGCGCTTGTGCAAAACAGAGCAGCACGCAGGCGTTAACACAAGAGCAGTAACAAAGCCCCCAGCTAACACAAGGAGGGAGGCTGGCATCCCGAGCGCACTACGGGGCAGGTGGGCTTTGATGGGGCTCCAAAAGCCACACAAGAGCAGATTCGGTGTCCCCAGCGTGGGGGAACATGGTGCCCTCCCAGGATACATCACCAAGCTGGCTGTTTTAGGGAGAAAGAGATGGGCTGATGTTGTTAAGCAAAGCTGAAAAAACCATGTCTCTCTGGGGAAAGACGTTTAGCTTAATTTTTGATACCTGGAGTGGTACCATTGGGATTTTTTCTTCCCTCGGCACCTTGGTGGAAGAGGAAGGAAATCCCGAGGGGCTAGAGAAACCCTTGCCCACCAGCACGCAGGGCTGAGGACTGGCCAGTCCCTGGTCTCCCAGGAGCTGGTGGGATTTTGCAGCGCGCCCACCCAATGGCACGGGCTTTGCCGAGCGTTATCTCCTTTCCTCAGGCAAGCCACGCTGTTGGCTTGTTACCTGTCAGCCTGTGACTCAGGGCAGGTACCATCAGCAGCCGGGCACCAGGGTGCTGCAGGCAGGTACTTTATTTAAAGATCAATTGCCCAGCTGGGGTGATTTTGAATGGGAGCACTGGATCCTTCCACTGATTTCAGCCAAGGCTGGAGTTACCTTTCAGCCTGGGTACATGGGTTTATCAAGCCAGCTTTGACACTCAAGTTCACCTTTGCTGGAGCAGCTAAATTACATTTACACCATCTGCTGCTCACACTCAGGCCTGAATTATCAGTCTTCACCTCCCACCTCCATCTTCTCCCTCTTGTAATGGGCAAAAATGACTTTTGGGAAACCCTTGCCTGCACGTGGACTTGAAAAGGTTTCTAGCAGCTCTGCTCCTACTGCACCTGAGCTGCGCTACCTGGGCTGCGGTCCTGCTGAGCTTGCACAGCTCCTAGGGGTGTCCGTCGCCTGAACCCCTTCACCTTTTTCTTCTTCATGTAGTGCTGTTAGAAAGTAATTTCTCTCCCCAGCAACCGGCCAAGCTATAGGAAGCATTCCTCATGTTGTCTCTCCCTGCTTGCCTTGCCTTTTCAGGAGGTCTGGGTGATTTGGGAGAAACCTTAACTGAAAGGATTTGAAACAGTCACAAGAGGAAACATCTTCCCGTGCTTTTCATCCCCTCCAGCTGCAGAAGGGCAAACAATCTTGGGAGGTGGTGAAGTTTGGCCCACTAACTCCATGATGTGGACAAGCCTGAAGCATTATAGCTCTGAAGGTTAAGTTACCGCCAGCGCTGGAGTGCAGGAGTACTCTTCCAGAGATACCAGTATAATACTGCAGGGTTTGCTGAGAGGGTCCTAAAAGTGGCCAAAGCCTCTTTGATCACCTGAAGCTGTGGGACCACACCTAACCCTGGCCCAAAGTGCCACCTCAGACTTCTCATCCCTCAAAGTCCTGGGACTAAGGCACTTTGTACCCAAGTCCCTGATCCAAGGGCTTTCACATTGTGCGAAGTGCCCTTCTACCTTCCAGGTCTGACATTCTTCCCACTTTGCAGGGTCTCCTGCTTCATTTTCTAACCAAAGAAGGAAATCCCAGGCAGAAGTCCACCATGGCGTCACCCGGGCTGGATATCTTTTCAAAGATGCCTGTAGTCTGGAGGTGCTAGTTATCAGCTGGATCTTGGCTGGGAGTTCCCTTTGTTTGTCAGGCAGCACCACTCCCGCTGTGTCACTCCGGTTTCCTTATCTCAACCTGGACTTTGGACAGAGACCAGTACTGCAGACACCTAGGCAAGGAGGAGCTGTTTATGGGGATGATTACCCACTTGGCAAGCTCAGAGTTGACTGAAACACAGGCTAAAAGCACCCACAGAAACCAGGCCAGTGTGCTTTTCTTCAAATCAGAAAGCTTTGCTCCAGTGGATCTCTTTGCATCGGAAAACCTTGTGCTCCCAATCCTGTGACCCATGTGGGTGCCAAGTTAGAGCAAGCAGTCAATGCCCGCCTTTAATTAAAGGTTTTAACCACGCAGCATGGCCAGAGAGGGCACATGCTGAGTTAGGTAATGGACCATTATTTCCCTGGCCCCGCAGATAAACCAGCGCAGTGCACTGCTCTGCTGAGGAGCTGTGGGGACAATACAGCTTTCTGTCCCTGCACATCTGGCAAGAGCTTGCAGAGGAAGGGGCTGCCTGTAACTGCCTGGGCTTCATCGGGCTGGCCAGAAAAAGCTCCCTCAGTTCTTACAGGGAACGCAGCACAAAGTAACTGACATTTGCTGGGTTTCTCCTGCTCAGAGTGCAAATACCAGATGTTTCCCAGGAAGCTCCCCAACCCATGGAAATCAGGGTCCGAAGCCTAAAAGGAAGAGACCAGGTGCTGTTAAGGAGCTAGAGCCTGCAGCAGGCTGGCAGTCACTCAGCGGTGAGGGGTGCAGGGCCAAGGAGGGCAGCACACTTTGCAGACAGATGAACCTGCTTCCCACTCCCAGACTCCCCCAGCCTCCACCAGCTCTTCCTTCCAGCCTGTTTCCCCCATCCTTTCTCCCCCGTGAGCAGCACAGGTCAGCAGCTGCGGAAGACGTACCAGCTCCCTGAGCGCCCGGCTTACGTGGGGCACCGGCGTGCTCAGCCAGCAGCGCTGGCCCCGCTACAGGAGGACTAATCCAGAAGCTGGAGAGGAATCAGTCACTGACCCAGGGGAGGGAAACCCCATTTATTCAGGCTATTTGAATGTGGCACGCACAGAACATATCACAGTAACGCACTGGAGGCTAAGGGTTTTGTTTGTTTTTTTTTTTCTTTTTCTCTACAGACATACAGGAAAACTCTATGCAACTCCCATGTACACATTACACAAAGGAAACAGCTTTAATCAACCACTGGTGAAACATGGAAGCTTTTAAGATCTCTGTAGCTGGCACAGGAATGTTCTC